ATTCTGAAATTATGAAACTACCCTCCGCTTGCTTCCTTGCTTGAATCTTCAATCTTTAGTGATCTCCAATAGGAACAAGCTTCATAGTGCTTCAAATCCGCATTAGAACTTTCCCGAATCCTGAGATTCGCTTGCTTCTGGGTCCAAAAACTCAATTCCGCTTAGTATTTGCTCTAACTACATGTTTTGGCCTGAAACGTAAAATATAAGAAATTAAGTTGCAATTCAGGCACAAACGAAAGAAGAAGTATCCAAAATCTGACCAAAAAGTCAAGATAAAACATCCTAGGATTATAGATCCATATGTGAGGGAGAAAGGGGTTTCACCCATGGATGAGCGGGCTATAGTCCAGTAAGACCAAAGGACTCCGGGTAGTTCATCTGCCCATGCGCCATTAGCTTTCTACAGGCGCTTTTTTAAAGTCTGCATGATGGTTTTATTCAATGATTCGGCCTGACCGTTGGACTAGGGGTTACGAGGGGTAAAGAAGCTAAGCTTGATCCCCCACATGTCGCATAAATCTTTGAAGCCTGAACTTATAAATTGGGATCCATTGTCAGTGACGATTTACTTCTGTATTCGAAACCTACAAATGACGTGTTTCCAGATGAAAGCTTTTACCTCTCAGCCTCTAACTTGCGCGAGTGCTTTGGCTTCATCCACTTAGTAAAGTAGTTGGTGATCACCAACATAAAGACCTGTTGCCTAGGCGCGGTCGGAAGCTTTCTGACTATATTCATTCCCCACTTCATGAACTACCAAGGTGTGAGAGTGCAGTTGAGTCGCTCGGGGGGGAAGTGTGAGACGTAGGCGAACCTCTGACAACTGTCACATTTCTTCAGATAAGCTACTGAGTCAGTGCATATGGTTGGCCAATAGTAGTAAACGGTGATCACCCGGTGGGCAAGGCTATGTCTTCTTGCATGGTTTCCATATTCAACTTCATTGAGTTCGGCAAGAACCCATTTGGCTTCTTCTAGGCTTATGCCTGATAATCTGTAAATTATACAGTTTTTATATGATCTTTTTGTCGGATTTCAGGTACTTTCTAGTGCATTTTTACTTGAATTGGTGCGTAATTCTCTACCTTTCGTGTTTTAGGTTAAAATGGACTCTTTTAGCAAATAAAGACAAAATTTGGCAGTTTTGACTCAGAATTGAAGGATTTCAGAAGATAGGAGAGTTCCGGAGTAGGACAATGCACGATGAAGCTTGTTTCCAAGGTGAAGAGTCGAAAATCGAAGAATCGGACGAAGAGGCAAGCAGAGTGGCAGTTTTATAAATTTCAGATCTTTTGAAGGAGCTTCGCCCCGGCGAAGAAATTGTCTTCGCCGCGGCGAAGTTAGGCAGATTCGAATTGAGATTTTTTATTCTTCGCCGCGGCGAAAGTCAAAATTTTCAGTTTTGTAAACGCACAGTTTCGTGTGTGCGTGTTTTGGACTGGGTTTTTAGGACTAGGTATAAAAGAAAAAGAAAAACTTTTTGTAAGGGATTCCAAACGATTAGGTTTAGCCGTCTTTTACATTTTCTGGTGAGAAAAAGCTTGAGTTTTTCGGATTGTTAGAGTGAAGGTTCAGATTTTGACTGGAAGATTCATCTTTTGGGGAGATTTCTATTATTTCATCTCAGTTTCATTATGTTTATTCTGTTTACTTTTATTTTCCGTTTTTATTCTGTTAAATTAGCTATGAACTAATCTTCTATGGGTTAGGGTTTTGATTGTAGTTTGGATTTGAAATGGGTTGAGTATATGTTTGTGCTATTTTCATGTGAATAAGCTGTGGTTGTGTGTTACTCTGAAATTAATTGTTGTATGTGATGAACATGATGAGATTGAGAAATAATTCATGTTAAGCTTCATGGGTAATAACCATTATAGTATTGGATGCTAGAGATAGATTCAAGAATTAATGAAATCAATTTAGGATTCTTATGCTTCATGATTTAGAATTATTAACCTTCAAATTGTTGGGTGCGGAATGTTAATAATGATGAATAGGAAAACATAGCCCGAGAGGGTATGTTATCATAGTAGTGAATCCGATTTACAACCATTGCATGTGAATGTGAAAATAGTGTAACTTTTAGGTATAACCCATAAATAATCCAAACGAAGTCAAAACCCTACCCGTTTTACTTAATTTGAATCTCTGTGTTCCATTTGCTTCCCTTTTTAAGAATTAATTACTTGTTAGATTTTATTTTGTTTTCTTTCAATTACAAATTGCTCCCACAAATCCAAGATTTTCGGTTGCTTCAACTTGTTAACACCATAGGAAACTTAGTGCTTTGCTACCAGTCCTCGTGGGAACGATATCCTACCCATCACTCTATTACTTGAGCGACTAGTGCACTTGCTAGTTTTGCATGTTGTAGTAAACACGCATCAATGCCCTTAAGGTAGGGACCAGAGAATGACTTCCTAAAGAGTTGGCCCTCATATATGGTGAACCTGGCAACTTTTGCTCTTAAGCGGCGTGCTTCATTCTTGTTGGCTGGGAGCTCATTGTGTTCCAAGTATTTTACTACTGGGGTCATCCAGGAGTCAGCTAGTTCAATGTCCATTACTTCTTCGAGCGACTTGTTCTTGAGTCATTCTTTCTAGTCAGCCAGCCATTGAAGGAATAACAAAGGGATGGATGACTGGGAGGAACATTAAAGGGCTGAGCCGAGGTTAGCAAGGGCGTCAGCATGGGTGTTCTCCATTCTTGGGACTTGCACAATGGATAATTCTTCGAAGGCGGTCTGTAATTCTTTGACCAGGTTCAGTTAGGCTATCATCTTCGAGTCGCGGGCTTGGTAAGTATCTTGTAGTTGATTGACCACAAGTTGGGAGTCAAACTTTACCTCCAACTTCCTTACTCTGATTTCTTTGGCTAGGGAAAGTCCAGCAATGAGAGCCTCGTATTCAGCTTCGTTATTAGTGCACTTGAATCCATATTATATGGCCCGCTGGATGACGTCTCCTTCTGGTGTAGCAAGTACGACACCAAGCCCACTTCCATTCACGTTGCTTGAGCCATCCATTGAGAAAGTCCACTTTGAAGGCGATCCGCTATTCATGCACAATAACTCTCTTTCTGCTTGAACAGTGGTGTTCGGGGTGAAATTAGCAATAAATTCTGCCAATGCTTGGGATTTGATGGTGGTGTGTAGTTGGAAAGATATGTCAAATTCACTAAGCTCTACTATCCATTGTGTGAGTCGGCCTGATAACTCTAGCTTATGTAGTATCTTCTTGAGTGGGAAGAAGGTGAGTATGATTATAGAGTGGCACTGAAAGTATGGCCTGAGCTTTTTGGATGCATGAACGAGAGCGAGTGCCAGTTTCTCTAGCTAACTATATCGTATATCGTATCTCCGCAGAGGAGTGATTTGCTTACATGGTAAACTGGTAGTTGCTTCGTATTATCTTCCCAAACTAACACTGCTAAGATTGCTATATCTAAGACCACCAAATAGATGTAAAGCTTTTCCCAATCCACAGGGTTGGAAAGGAGTGAAGGGGAGGTCAAATATCTCTTCAGCTGTTGCAAGGCTTTCTCACAGGTAGGGGTCCATTCAAACTTCTTAGATTTCTTGAAAGTGTAGAAGAAATGGTGGCACTTGTCGGTGGATCTGGAGATGAAGCAGCTCAAGGTGGCTCCTCGTCTTGCGAGGCATTGGATGTCTTTGATTGCTTAGATTTGGTCAGGGTTAGCTTCTATCCCACGCTGAGTTACCATGTATCCCAAGAATTTCCCTGATGAGACCCTGAATGAGCATTTGGTTGGATTCAGCTTCATGTTATACTTCCTTAGGATGGTGAATACTTGGCTGAGGTGGTCGAGGTGCTGCTCGGCCATGAGAGACTTGACGAGCATGTCGTCGATGTACACTTCCATGGTGTCCCCAAGGTGTTCAGAGAACATTCTGTTGACTAGCCACTGATAGGTAGCCCTAGTGTTCTTGAGACCAAATGGCATCACCTTGTAGTAGTAGGTCCCCCTCTTTGTAATGAAGGTTGTTTTCTTCTGGTCGTTCGGGTGCATCAAAATCTGGTTGTACCCTAAGAAGGCATCCATGAAGCTTAGGAATTCATGGCCTGCTATCGTATCGATCATCATGTCGATATGTGGGAGCGGGAAGGAGTCCTTAGGGCATGCTTTGTTTAAATCCGTGAAGTCTATGTAGACTCTCCACTTTTCATTCGTTTTCTTTATGACCACAACCTTTGCCAGCCAGTCGGGATAGTGGGCTTCTCTGATTAGACCATTATTCAATAATTTATCAATCTCCTCATTGACGATCTGGTTGCACTCTGGTGCGAATTTCCTATGCCTCTGCTTCACTAGGGGTGATCCAAATCTATTTTGAGGTGGTGGACGATTGCTTCTGGGTTGACTCCTATCATGTCTGCGTGGGACCAGGCAAAGCAATCTTGGTTTTGCTTGAGGAATTCTATGAGTCTCTCTCTTATTTTGGGCCCAAGGTGGGAGCCTATCTAGGTCTTCCTTTTGAGGTTGTCCGGGTGTATCTACACTTCATCCAACTCTTCTATAGATGGTTGATCTGGCTTGGTTGGAAGGGTTGGATGAGACTATAGTTGCTATGAAGCATGACCTTTGCTTTTGAAGGCGTTTTTATAGCAATCTCTAGAAGCCTTAAGATCACCTTTGATTTCCCTTACTCCCCATTTCGTTGGAAACCTTATAGTTTAGTGGAAGGTGGATAGAACAGCTCGCATGTCATGGATCCAGGGTCGGCCTAAGATGACATTGTATGGTGGAGGACAATCAAGCACTAGAAAACTGGATTGCTTATTGACTCCGCCAGTGTAAACCGGCAGAGCGATTTCTCCGATGGTGTATTTCTAATCAGAACTGAACCCAACCAGTATGGTTGGTCATCTGCTGGTGTTTGTTTCATCCAGTCCTATGGCCTTCACTGCTTCAAAGAAGAGAATGTTTGTTGAGGATCACCCGTCTATGAATACTCTCTTGACCAGGATGTTAGCGATCTAGAGGGAGATGACTAGAGCATCGTAAAGAGGGGCGACCAAGGTGACTGGCTCGTCATCTTCAAACTGAATTACCTGGTTGGTGTGCAACCAAGAGGGCAGATGGATAGATTGGACTTTAGAGTGATAGTTAGCTCGGGCGTAGCGCTTGGTTGAGGAATAGCTGACCCCATTTATCTCCGACCCTCCAAAGATAATTGAGCAAAACCCATTTGGTGCAGGTTCTCGTGGAGGTGGAGATATTTCCTTTGAGCTTCTCTGGCTAATTGTATTCTTCCCTTTATCCATCAATAGATCTTGGAGATGTCCCCTTCCTAGCAATGCTGCAACTTCCAACCGTAGGGCGATGCAATCTGCGGTGTTATGACCATGGTCACCGTAGAATTCGCACCACTTTGTTCTGTCCCTCCTCGCTTCGGGATTGAGCTTGTTAGACCACTTAATGGTAGGTCCCATACCTTTCATGATTGCCACGACCTGGGCTGGTTCGATGTTAAGGTTGTACTCTGGAACTTTGTATTGACTCAATCCGGATGGTCTGTTGTCAGCTCTAATTGGCTGGCAGTCATATGGTTTTTTGACTTTGTTCAGATTGCATGGAAGGGGTTGATGCACTGTAATTACAACATGCAATTACAGCAAGTGCACTAGTCACACAAAGTAATAAAGTGATGAGTGAGTATCGTTCCCACGAGGATTGGTTGCTAAGCACTAAGTTTTCTATTATTTTCAAGTTGGAGCAATCGAAATTGTTTGGATTAATGGGAGAAAAATTAAACTTAAAACTAAAACAAAAATGGCTAAATATTCAAAGCTAATTTATGAAAGCAAGATTAAAAACAAGGTAATATCAATTTACACAAACGGGTAGGGTTTTGACTTCATTCGGACTTTATGGATTAAACCTACAGATTATGTTATTTCTATATTCACATGCATTGGTTGTAAATCGAATTCTCTAAATTGTAAAACATACCATCTCGGGCTATGTTTTCCTACTTTTCCCTATTAAACTTCCGCACCCAACAAATTGAAGATTAATAGTTCTAAGCTCATTAAGCACATGGAATCCTAGATTGATTTCATTGATTCTTAAATCTATCTCTAGCATTCAATACTATAATGGTGATTACCCAAGAAGCTTAACATGACTCATTTCTCAATCTCATCATGTTCATCAATTAAAAGCAATAAAATCAGAATAACCACACAAACCATGCAATAGCATATGAAAATAACAAAAATCAATTACTTAATCCATGGAAATCCGAATTACATCAAAACCCTAACCCAAAATGGGTTAGTTCATAGCTAAATCAAAATACATAACAAGAAAAACAATAAACACAAAGTTTAACATATTGAAATGAGAGAAAAGACAAGAGATCTCCCCTAGTTGAAGAATCCACCAGATTCAATCCCAAATCTTCTCACTTTTCAACCCAAAATTCGTAAATCTCAACTAAGGAAGACGAAAAAGTTGCTCTAGACTATGAAAAACACAACTCTCTCTCAAAATGGCAACGTTTTGCTTTTATATTTTGCCCAAAAACCTAAGACTTTGCTAAAAAATGAAACTATGCGTTTTAAAGAAACTGAAATTTGCAGACTTCGCCGCGGCGACGAAGTAAACTTAAATCTTTTGTGTAACTCATTTCACCACGGCGAAGAACAAACTTCGCCACGGCGAATCTTCATGAAGAATTCTGAATTTATAGAATTGCCCTCCGCTTGCTTCTTTGCTTGAATCTTCGATCTTCGATGCTCTCCCATGGGAACAAGCTTCATAGTGCTTTACTCTACTTCAAAACTCTCCCAACTTCTGAGATCCGCTTACTTTTGAGTCCAAAAACTCCAATTCGCTCATTATTTGCTCAAAATGTCCATTTTGACCTGAAACACAAAATGTAAAGAATTAAGTAGCAATTTAGGCATAAATGAACTAAGAAGTATCTAAAATCCAGCCTGAAAGCCAAAATAAAATAGTATAATCCTCGGATTATCAAATACCCCCAAACTAAAGACATGCTTGTCCCTGAGCATCAGGTACAAAACAAAATGAAAGAAAAACAACAAACGCCCAAACAAATGTAAAACAACAAAATTAACAAGAATTTAAAAAAAGAAAAACATAAGAGTCAACTCAACACAACGAACTACCTAGAATTTATACAAGTCTCAAAGGTTGTTGGAAAATTATTACTAGAAAAATGTTCAACACTCCAAGAAGTTATAAGTTGCATCGACTATCTTTCTCTATTGGTCTCTCGAGTAGGTGATCCCCACTTCAATCTGCCTTCCGACTTCCCAGATTATTTTATGCAGACATGCAAAGTTTATAAAATAGTGGCCCATAAGCCTAAATATTGAACTACTCTCCACTAATGAGGATTAGACATCGCTAAGAATCAAAAGGTCTTTGCAAGCTTGTAATTTTAGGCTTTGGTAGTGGTCTCCAAAGGAAAGGAAATGATAAACAAATATGAGAACTTGGTTTCCTTAAAGCAAACACTAAGACTTAATCCAACTCCTACTTCCTTTCTCAACCATCACTCAAAATGTCAACCATTTAACAACCTTCAACCATGAATAATTCTTATTGTTGCTATTGTAATGCAATTCTCGAAATAATTTTTTTTTTTTTTTGAAAATAACAAAATTGAGGTTAATTACCTCTCTCATTCTTTTTGCCCTTCTCACAACCCCCAAACTATTCTTTTCATTCATTCACACAACTTTTCAAGTTCCTTGTGTTTGCATTAGGTCCCAAATTCTCCTAAAGGGTATGATTATGTGTTTAGGGTAATTGGATTGGACAATTTTTGGTTTGCAAGAAAATAAAAAGCAATGATAATCTCATAAAGGTCAAATGGGTGACTAGGGAAAAATTCATTCGTAGGTTGGCTGGAAAGGCTCAAACGTTCCAAAAAATGCCTAAATCATTTCCTCAACAGTGTATATTCCTAGAATTCTGCCTCAAGCACTTCTCTACTAGGTTCTAGAGTCCACCAACATTTTTAAAACTTTACCTAACCACATAAAATGAATCTAAGCATGCCGAAATAAATGAAAATGGTGGTTGAATCACTCAACAAACCTCAATCAAAATTCAGTCAATAAACACAAACTTAAAGCAATGCTTAACATTTTTCAACAATAAAATTCCAACAACCCTATTCTCATCATCAATTTATACAATTCATCATTGGCATACACAACAAAAACACAAAATTAACTAAACAAAATTCAAAAATTTCTCAAATTTTTCCCACCCCCAAACTAAAGATGACATTGTCCCCAATGTCACATTATGCACAAATTAGGAATAGAAAAACAAAATCGACAAAGGTACGAGATAGTTCCCTGATTAATCTGTGAAGTTGAAGTTTCGCTCAACAGTGTGCACACCCGGTCCTTGACTTTTTCATCACCAAAATCTGTAAAAACAATTGAAAACTGTGGTGTCCACTGTGTTAGAAGAATTCACTGACTAATATGAAAATATTACAACCCTAATCTCATCTTTACATCAACTACGAAATTAAAACAAAAATTAAAAAACTAAAGCAATCCAAAACAAAAAGTATCAACTAAATTCAATGTTCGAAATGAAATACAAAAACAACCAAAAACAAAGAAAAATAAAAACAAAAAAACAGGTGGTCATGTGCTCATTTTTCGGCCTCCTCATCTCCCTTGGCATCGTCCTCTTCTGATTCAGAGCCCATCCACTCATCTGAATCCCACTCAGCCCATTGGAATTCTGTAGTGTCAATGTTGAGCTTGGTGAAGCTACTCTTCTGCATGTCATACATCATCTGGGTCTGCTCTGCCAACCAATCCTGACGTTTTGCCATACGTCTCATCTGACCCATCATCTGTTGTATCATTTCCCTCACGGTAGCTGTGGAACTAGATGATGTGGCAGCGGCTTGTGTGGTTCTCTATTGTTTTGTCCCTATGCTGGGTTGCTTATCCTCTGGACGTTCAAGATACTTGTGATAATAGTCTGAGTCGAGAATTGGGGCAGTGTGGATAAGTGGCTCATCATCATGTACCTCGATTCCTGCTCGAGTGCATAAAGTTGCAATGAGATGTGGGAAAGGGTAACTCCTTCACCCTAGTTTGGCTGCATGTTGAATGTTGTTCAGGATAACTTGTCCCACATCCATTCTCTTTCCTGTGGCAATAGAATAGAGCAACAATGTCTTCTCATAAGTCACCGTACTATAGTGCGTTTTCGGCATCATCCTCACACTAATAAAATACTGCCACAACTGAGCCATTGGTGTCAAATTAATTCCCTTGATGCTTTTCTTGCCTTTTTTGAAACCTCCCAAGTGGTGTTCGATTTTATAATGACCAGAAGAATGATATCATCCTCAAATTGTGTCTTCCTAAAATCCACATAATCATTTTGGTCAATTTTAGGTAGGTTATAGAATTCATTGGTGACCTTCGCAGTAAAGGCCACATCAGTACCCCTCACAAACACAGTACCAAATTCACACTCTGGGAGGTTGGCATAAAACTCTCTCACTAGTGGTTCTACAGCCGGTTATGCAGGTGCACTCATAAATAGTTCCCAACGTCTCCCTCAACTCCAATCCATAGCTTGGCTCGCAGTCAATCCACGCTCAGGAATAAATCCTTTATCTTTCCTTTAGGCTGCCCCTTCATAGCGTGTCCGAGCCTTGTCATTTACAAACTGGTTGTCCACTTTCTTTCATTTTCTTTTACCCTTTGATGGTACCTTGAGCGGCATTTTCCCAAAACTACCAATCAACTCAACAATTCACTCAAAAAATATTCAACCCTAAGCGCCCTATGAACAACCATAATCAATCCTGAAGTAAAACAATACTTCCAAAATTTGCACCTAGACCCCCAAACTACAATTTTTCCAAACTCAACCAAACACTCCAAAATTCAAAACCCACACTCCTCAATACCACATAATGCAAAATCAATACTTTCTCAAGCACAATCAACGCACAATATCACAAAAATTTCACAACTCTACCAACAATCAATATTTTCAGATCCACAAATCTAAACTCAAAAATTTGCGATTAAAAGCTTAGGGAACTTGAAATCATACCAAAACTAGGGAGTATTCGCCACCAATTTAGCCAAAATCATCCTAGATTGCAAAATCCCAAATTTCTTGAAACCACAAATTTCTTCAATTTTTCGCAAAGATCTTGGTTAGAACGAGTTGTTTTGGTGTTTAGAAAGGTTAAGGAGCGAGAAACTTTGCTGGGAAATCACTGGGAAGGCTCTAGATTGAAGTTAGAAAATTTTTCTCTCGAATGTGTTTGAGAAGTTTTGCAAAAAACGAAGGGTCGCACAAAGTATTTATAAAAACCAGGTTTCACCGCGACGAAGTTCTTCACTTGAAAACCCTAAAAACCAAACCCAGTCGATGCCGCGGCAAAGACAAATTCTTCGCCGCGGTGAAAAATTACGGAAGCTCATCGCCCCGGTGAAGATCAATCTTCGCCACAATGAATTTTCCTTAGTGAATTTTTGCCCACTTTGCTTCACTACAGCAAACCAAAATTCTTCACCGCGGCAGGAAAATACAGAGATGCATTGCCTTGGCAAAATAAATACTTCGCCGCGGCGAAGTCTGGGACTTTTCGAATTCCAAATTTTTCAAAAATGTGCTTTGCCGCGACGAAAACTAGACAAATTCCATTTTCCGCCTTGATTCGATAATTCACCTGAAACACCCAAGAACACACATATTAGACTTCATCTAAAAATAATACGAAACTAAACAACTTCAAAATAATAAATAAACAATAAAAAAATGAAAACACTTGGGTTGCCTCCCATGTAGCGCTTGTTTATAGTCGGAAAGCTCGACTCTCTCAAGTTCTCATGTCGGAATGTCAAGCCGGATGGGAATTGACTTGAAACTCATCACTCCGTCGATGTATGGCTTCAACCTCTAGTCATTGACCTTAAATGTGCCTTTTTCTTCATGTGACACTTCCACTTCTCTGAATGGGTAAACTCTTGTAACTATGAAGGGTCCGGACCATCTAGATCTAAGTTTTCATGGGAAAAGCCTAAGTCTAGAGTTAAACAACAACATTTTCTGACCCACTTCAAAGATCTTCTTCCTTATATGCTTGTCATGCCACTTCTTGGTCTTTTCCTTGTACATTCTAGCATTCACATAAGCTTCGAGATGGAACTCATCGAGTTCATTCAAATTCAGCATCCTTTCTTCCCCAGCAGCTCCATAAATCCATGTTGAGCTGCTTCACTGCCCAGTAGGCCTTATGCTTGAGTTCTACCGACAAGTGACATGCCTTCCCATAGACCATCCTGAATGGAGACATACCAATCGGAGTCTTAAATATAGTTAGGTAGGCCCATAATGCATCATCCAATTTCGGTGACCAATCTTTCCTATATGTATTAACTGTCTTTTCTAAAATTCCCTTAAGTTCTCTGTTCAACAGTTCCACTTGCCAACTCATCTATGGATGGTAACGTGTTGCCACTCTATGTTTCACCCCATACTTTCCCAACAGGGCATCAAATTGCCTATTGCAAAACTGCGATCCTCCATCACTAATAATTGCCCATGGTACTCCAAATCTTGAGAAAATGTTCTTTCTCACAAAATTAATCATACCCTGGCATCATTAGATGGCAATGCAACTGCTTCCACCCACTTTGATACGTAATCCACTGCTACCCAAATGTATGTGTTCCCAAAAGAATTTGGGAAGGGACCCATGAAGTCAACTCCCCACACATCAAACAACTAAACTACAACGATTTTGTTCAACGACATCTCATCTCTCTTTCAAATATTACCACTCCGTTGACATTGGTCGCATTCCTGAACCATCCGGAAAGAATCCTTAAAAAGGGTTGACCAATAAAACCTAGATTGAAGAACCTTGGCTGCTGTCCTAGCTCCTCCAAAATGGCCACCTACTTCCTTCTCATGATAATGCCTTAGAATACTCTCCATTTCCTCTTCCAGAACACACCTACGTATCATCTGATCAGCAAAGTGTCTATAAAGGAATGGCTCTTCCTAGAAGTAGTATTTCAAATCTGAGAAAAACTTCCCCTTTTGTTGGAAGGTCATGCCAATAGGGAGCACTATCGCTAACAAGTAGTTTGCAAAATCTGCATACCATAGTGTTTCCTCCACTCTTATCAATTTCTCATCTGGGAAAGTTTCTTTGATTTGGGTTTCTTCTTCATTTCCCTGAATTGGTCGTTCAATCCTAGACAAATGGTCCACCACCACATTTTCTAACCCTTTCTTATTTCGTATCTCCAACTCAAACTCTTGTAGCAATAGGATCCATCTTATTAGCCAAGGTTTCGCTTCTTGCTTTGCCAATAGGTGCTTGATGTTAGGAAATGGTCCATATACGCAACGGAAAACAAAAACATAATAACAAGGATTGTTCCCATTGAGCCAAGATCAAACGTACAATTTTAGAGTTTACGTTAAAATAGAAATCAGCAGAAATTAATCATGAGTTTAGAAATACATACGAACATTTGGAGGCTCTTCCAAATTTGTCTTTCAACGTTTTTGCTATCGACCCAAGTGTACAATCGAACCAATGAAGTCCACACAAAGACAATCACAAAGAACTAAGGAGGGATTTGCTAGATCCTCCTTAGCTTTAAGATTAAAGAAGAAAAATCAAATGAATTGATTTTGGGCAAAATGGTATACTACTGTGGGAGAGGAAATGGGGCTATGGGGTTTTTCCTTTTTCAATCAAATGAGTGTAATGTCTAATGCTTAATAAAAATCTCTACACTTTTTCTTGTTTTATAGTGATTTTTAATAGCCCTATTCCCTTACGGAATAGGCTTGGGCTTCAACCCAAACACCCTATGTTACCAAACACTTCCAATTAGATATTTATTTTTATTTCATCACTATCTCAATTAAAATCAATTAATATATATTTAATCTATATATTAACATTTAACAATAATGATGATTTTATTAAATATATGCGAATATATATTTAAACGTAATTTCACTTATTTAATTTTTCTAATAAATTAAATAAAGGCTACGACCTTAGCAAATTTAATTGCATTGTGAAATTACCAAAATACCCTTTCACCTAAAAAGACGAAAACGCCCTTCTTTCTTATTGAGTCTTAAATTATCTTCTACGTGTGTGACCCATAGGCTCCTCATCATACCTGCAGTGTATAGTATCGCGATTAACACCAATTAATCATCTCACTAATACACAAACCAAGATTGGCCCCTAGCAAGGCATCATGGCCACTCGATAGATTCGAATTCAGCAAAGTAGCTACCTGTCAACGATATGGTTACCGTACAATTTGATCCTTTCATCATACGTTATCTTGACGATACGAAGGCATATAAATAGTGTCAACCTTCAGTTACTCTCAATATTATGTATTCAGTTTCTAGACCAATGACTTATATTATAAACTGGATAGAGCAACAACTCAATCCCACTGCGGCCACAGTTTTAGTGTCATTGCCATATACTGAATTACGCTGTGAGATAACTTCTCCCGTACCCGAGAGTGATGAATCCTCTTTCAATCCACCATAGTCTTGATACACTCCTCGATACAACCAATCACCATCATATTGACAGCTCTAAATAGAATTGCGTTAGGCTAGTGTCAAACTGTACAAATCAGTGCACAAGGCGCTCCGATGATCTCAAGTCTAAGGATCACATGCACCACCATTCGTTAGAAAATTTGTTCCATAGACACTAGGGTTACCATCCATATGGAATCCTTTGGTGGGTCTGTCTAGTGAACTTGCTGTGGTATATCCGCCTACAGCAAGCACCCATATGTTGCACTAGGTTGTCACCAAATAACCTTGACAAGTGAGATCAGTCACTGCCTTTCAACAGGGTTGTTTGACACTATGATAGCCTTACCGTATTATCTGTGCCCTTACTTCATAATAATACTAGGGCTACGGATGTTTCTAGAATGGCCGCCACATGTGCTCATAGGGTTCTCACTATCAAGATTTGAAACACTTGATACCCTCGTCACGGTTCTACCATTTTAAGGACATATATCAATACATATTGCAATAATAATGATTTACGCGATATAGAATAAAATNATCGCAAGTTCAGAATTTATAAAATTTTGCAATAAGTTGTCTTTGTTCATTAACATATCCTGAAAAGAGTAGTCACATGTGGTTCCTAGTGGAACAAATCTATTAGTTTTGAAAACAAAGGTGAAGAATGATGATGTATCATCAATGAGATGAAAAAGAAATCCATACATGAACAAACCAGCAATGTGAGCTACTATTTTGAGTGTGTGAAAATACTCAGGAAAATAACAGAGATTAGGCAAATGGGAAAAGAAATTGGTCTCTGGAAACATTAGCTTTTCTCAGTATCTTAGATTTCTGGAGAAACTTGTGGCTTTTGAGCATATCAAATGAATTTTGGCATAATTTAATCGATTTTAATGGAAGAAGTTGATGATCCTTTTCAATATGCTATGGATAGCTCTAGTTTTTTCATAGTTATTTGATTGTAGGGCTTTGACTAAGTTACACTTTTGAACTTCTTTAGGGGTACTTATGTCCCAGCCATTTTGAGCAGGTAGAGGCTAATGTGAGGATTATTGAGAAAAAGGCAATCACTAGCTAGTTATCTTAATATGTGTCACAGATGACAATCTCTGATTAATTCATTTCTCTAGCTAATCCATTTTAAGCTGTAATTACATTTATTTATTTAGGATTATTTTGAAGTGGGTGTTTTGTGTTATGTTTCTGTCAAATTTGTATTTTGATTGTTTTATTATTTTCATTGTTGCGCAGATGAGTGCATATTTTGCTCCTGCTTTTTTCAGCCATCTCTTGGGTAAATGCTTAAGGTGTAAAAGTCCTCTTCTTGAAGTGATAAAATTGGGCCTGGTGGTCATAGGAACATTTGCTGTTGTTTGGTGGCCATATCTTCATTCAGCAGATGACTTTTTTGGGGTAAACAACATTAAGAATTTCTCTTCTGTTTACAAATGAATTTGTTGGTCTGATAGTAATATGTGTTGGCTACTAACATAGGTTTTTGTCTTTCTGGCTTAGATATATAACTTCTCATGTTTCAAGATCTAGCATTCTTAATGAGACTCTTACGGTAAAAAAAAATGATAAGATTTGGTTTTTATTTAGAATATAGTGCTCTAAATATAGTCTGGATAAGATAACTATTATCCAGTGAGGATTCTGCACTTCGAATAAGACTTATGAAACAGGTTGACCATCTGATGATTTAGTCGGATGTGCTTTATGCTAAAATTTTGTCATATCTGTACATTACAATTGACCAGTATATCATGTACATTGAATCTTGAAGTAATCATGTCAACTGTTTTTCTCTGGACATGTAAAGGCTTTTTGGCAATGGAAGTAGATTTGATTTATAAACTAGGAAAAACTAAGTAAAATATTGAGTGTGGTAGAATATCAAACTAACTGCTAAACTGCTGTTCATCAGTTTTTTCTCTACTTTAATATTGGTAATTGGTGCCCTTTGCAGGTTCTTTCCCGTCTTGCCCCTTTCGAGAGAGGGTTATACGAGGACTATGTTGCAAATTTTTGGTGCACCACATCTATTCTCATAAAGTGGAAGCGATTGTTTACAGTACAATCATTGAAGTTAGTTAGCTTTACTGCAACTGTTTTGACTTGTCTACCTTCAGTGGTTCAGCAAGTACTGGCTCCCAGTGGCAAAGGTTTCCTTTATGGGCTTATGAATAGTTCTTTCTCATTCTACTTATTTTCATTCCAAGGTAAGTACAATTTCTTTACTTGTTCATTTTGTCCCATGTGAAAATTGTTTAAATCATCACTTACATCTCTGCAGTACATGAGAAGTCTATTCTGCTGCCGCTTCTGCCTGCAAGCCTATTAGCCCTAGAAGAGCCTCGTCCTTTTCGATGGTTGACACATCATGCCTTATTTTCTATGTTTCCTCTCCTTTGTCGTGACAAACTGATTCTTCCGTACATGGCGATGTATGCTCTCTTTACTCTTCTATATCTTACACCTGGTGGAAGATCCCGTTTGAAGAAAACCGATCATTCCTCTTCTATTGCATCAATTATGATCAGCTTTCTTTATCTGTGCTCATCTATCCTTCATATTGTTTACTTAACCATCCGTCCTCCTGAGAAGTTTCCTTACCTCTTTGAAGCAATGATTATGCTTATGTGCTTCCCCCAATTCGCGTTGTGCGCATTTTACTCCAATGCAAAGCAATGGTTGTTATCAAAACATTCTACAGTAGATAAGGAAAAGAAACTTATTTGATTGTCATGTTTCTGAAATTAGCTCACACTTCATAGCATTTTATCTAACTTTTGTTTCCTCTCAGAATCTCAAATCCATAGCAGCAAATGCCCATAGGCATGTGCTGGGTGACTAGTTATTGGATTGACTCATCTCACTGGGAGAAGTTTCTTGGCCGTTTGAGCCAATATTCATATTTTACATGCTTTTTGGAGAATACGCCTAATTTGCTGTTCCTTTTGTATTTTTCTTTTTCAATTCTAACGTTCTATTATAATTTACACTCTTTTATTTGAAGTGCAGATTTAAGCTTGCTTACGAAACTTATGTACCCATGGTTGCTTTTCTGGGTTTCTTGACTCTTTTGAACTAGGCTTGAGGGATAGTTGAGTCAGGCCAGCAAAACACATGACAATACGTAGTGCTCCCAGAAATTTGATATTTCTTCATAGATGAATAATTAAAGTTTAAAAATACAGTTATCTGGGCTTAATTCACAGAGAATCCATACCAATTTTGGCAATGCCCTCCACGAGAGTAAAAAAAAGAGATGAAAAAGTTTACTTACTGATGAATTGCTCATATCTCTAAAATAAAGAAAGAAAACTATTTAGCCTTGCAGGTCCAAATAGAGATGGCAAAGGTACGCGGTTCTCTGGGGACCCGTCCCGTATGGGCTGGGGATTGCCCTTTTTTGGGGGATGGAGACGGGCCTGGCGACTTTTTTAATCCCGGGCCCCTTGGACAGCCCGCCCCCCCGCCGCTTACCCATTTTTATATTTAAAATTATATTGTTTTATTTGGGCCAAGCGTTTTGTTGTGGCAGATCTTGAGGCCCAAAGATAAATTTTGATATAAANATTACTTAGTTGATATTAAAAATTAATTAACTCTAACTTAATAAAAGAGCTTATAAAAAAGGTATTTCTCTTCACATACACAAAAATATTTATTTTACGGGTAGATAAATTCAACCAAATGAACAATTAAAATCTATCACAAAGCAAGTTTGGTTGGCTTCCATAAATAAATAAAATATATTGAGAGTTTTTTTTTATTATTATTATTTTTGCCTATATCATAAATCTAACTAAATACGTATAATCTACATAAAAACAATATTGGTTCCATAGTTGCATGTTACCAAATTTTATATAAACAAATCTATTATTAGTTTTGTGTAACTACTAAATAGTTATCCACAGTTAAAAAATTCTTTAATGAGAGAAGTAGATAAGGCATATAACAGTGGGAAAAAGGAGAAAAACCATAAAAGAGGAAATAAATTCAAATACAATTGAACAGAAAAGGAATCGAAAGATGAAAGCCAGCACTATTTCATGTGTTACGTCCTTTATTACATTACCAAAAAAGAGATAAGAACAACTCTATACATTTAAAACTCTTTTATGAGAGAATCAGATTCTCATTTTACATAATATCATTACATTTATAATCTTTTATGGAAAAAACTTTACATATAACCAAACAATTAAAACTAGAATCCAGAAAGAAATGAAAGGATGTTTTTATTTGGCAGTCACAATAAATGTGTACATGCATCCAATATGTGCCAAATTAAATTAGCTTTTATTTAAGGATAAATTATATGGCAATTGGTAATAATAAATATTAATTTTTATCTTACCATTTTAAGATTTTTAAAACTTTTTTTAACAATTTTTTTTTTCTTTCTCAAAACATGTATTGTCATAGCATGAGTCAAACGAACCCTTTAAAAATTCAACTTCAGTGTTACCTAAAATAATATATAATCCAATGTATTTACTTTTTAGTTAATTTTATAATGTGAAAAAAGAATATGCTAGATTAAAGCCTTATTTTAGATTTTAAAATAGCAGTTATTCACTTATTTTACATCCCAAATACTTTTGTTTTCTAAAATGAATTTTTAAGAACATAAATGTTTAATATTTAAGGGCAATTAACTTTAACACTAACGTGCCCTGAACTTAGTTAAATTACCCTATCTCCCTTTACATATTTAAAAGCAACATCAACCTCCCCTGAAATTACCCTGCCTCCCCTTACATATTTGTAAGTACAACCAACCTCCCTTACATTTTGAAAAATGACAACCACCACCTCTGGGTTCAGTTAATTAACAAAAAAGTTTCTGACTTGATAAAATTATCATTTGCCCTTAGATTAAAAATAGAGCACTAACATTTACCTTTATATGTGCTATAATACATTATTCAAATACTGAGCCATACTACGCATCTCTTAGTTTAATAAAAAAAGTATATCAATTTTTAAAATAATTAAATATTAATATAGCTTCGACGAACATGATAGATAGATTGTTTGAAGAAAAATTTGCACTGTTAAAAACATCAATTGATAATGAATATTATTATGCCAACTATACACCTCAACTTGCCATCACTTAATGATGAAACTCCACATTCACGGTCGACTTGTGTCATTCAGCAACGTGTGAGACCTTCAAGATGTCAGTTATGAACAAAGAATTTACCTACAAATTAATAGATAAAAATAGATCTTCATATGATGATGTTGATGACAAACAACAACGAAAGTAGTATGTGACAAGTAGGGGTGGGCAAAAAAAGAGGGTAGAACCAGAGCCGGCGAATACCCAGGGTTTCGGTTTTAAAAAAATTAGAATCGGTCCTGTGCAGTTTTAGTTTCGGTTCCATCACTTCAAGAACCACAACAAGAACTCAGACCCGAGTAGAAATCAGGACTGAACTGTAATCTTTGCTAATGTTTAGGGGTGTATTTGTCATTTTTGTGAATAGTTGGGGGTAATGAATTTTCTCAGTTACCCGGAATTGGAACCTGTTGTAGATGCAAAAAAATCTACAATTATGGAAATAGGGTCTGATCTCGTGAGGTTGAGGCCACTAACAATTCGTTATACCTGCGCACACTAGAAAATAAGCATGAAGCTTACGGAAAGCACCGGGGTGGTGTTTGCCATATGCACTCCTACGTTGAAGTCAGTAAGGCTGGGTGAGGCTAATTTAGAGAGGGTTAGGGAAAGAGAAGGTTACCAGAAAGTTAGTCGGAGACAAAGGTTATAGCAGGGAAGTAAAGCTCTTGAGACTGAGAACTACGGGATTAGAAGGTGTAATATCCTGTCTTGTGAGAGGACTAGCTTCTGTTTAAATAGCAGTTGTAGGATCTTCGAGTCCTAGTAGGATTGTGAGTCCTTTGGAGGTTGAGGTTCAGTGAATAGGAAGGCATTTGATTATCCTACCTTAGTAGGAGAGGGAGTCCTATTTGGTCTAAGATACGAATCTTAGACGAATTAGGATAGTAATGGATCTCTTCGGTAGAATCCAAATAGTACCAAAATAGGAAGTAGACAACCTTGGGGTCTAAGTAAACCCTAAGTCCAGTAGGTGATCTTGGATCAATGGGTCTGGGCCTAGACAAACTGATGATGAGGCCTAAACGAATCGGGGCCTTTATTGATTCGGCTTAGGCAGTGAGCAACATGGTAGATGTAATTAGCGGACCCAATCGATATTGGGCCACGACTCCGAGTTTTGTTGAAGGTGTCTTCGTCTTTGGGCCTATTGAGGCCGAGGGCATTTTTTTGTCCTAACAGTGTGCCCCCCACTCTCTAAGTTAATGAGTGTTTAGCTTAAAGAGTAGATGTTGTGTAAAGGTGTGCTTAATCGTCCTTCGTGACCGAATGATTGAACATGTGAAGGTGTCGTTTCTCGGTTTGCAGAACCGAATAGTATAACTTTCATTGTAGCTGACGCACTCAGTATACCAAATCGAGTGGGTAAATGGAGGTGAAACACAAATGTGCCCTCACTCGGTGTACCTAACTGAGTGAGAAAGTAGAACTGACCATAGAGGCCTTACTAGGTGCATCGAACCGAGTGAATGGAAGTGACAAATATTCATGAAGGTGTCCCTACTCGGTGCATCGAACCGAGTGAAACGATGTGAAGCATATCCTTTGAAGGTGTCCTCACTCAGCATATCGAACCGAATGAAATGATGTGATCTCCTGAAGGTGTCCCAATTGGTATATCGAATTGAGTGGAGATGCGTTAGGATCACTGATAATCCGTAAATTATACAGTTTTTATATGATCTCTTTGTCGGATTTCAATTACTTTCTAGTGCATTTTTACCTGAATTGGTGCGTAATTCTCTACTTTTCGTGTTTCAGGTTATAATGGACTCTTTTAGCAAATAAAGGCAAAACTTGGCGGTTTTGACTCAGAATTGAAGGATTCCAGAAGATAAGAGAGTTCCGGAGTAGGACAATGCACGATGAAGCTTGTTTCCAAGGTGAAGAGTCGAAAATCGAAGAATCGGACGAAGAGGCAAGCAGAGTGGCAGTTCTGTAAATTTCAGAACTTTTGATGGAGCTTCGCCCCGGCGAAGAAATTATCTTCGCCGCGGCGAAGTTGGGCAGAATTGAGTTTTGGTTTTCATTCTTCGCCGCGGCGAAGAATTCTTCTTCGCCGCGGCGAAAGTCAAAAATTTAAGTTTTGTAAACGCACAGTTTCGTGTGTTTTTGTTTTGAACTGGGTTTTTAGGACTAGGTATAAAAGAAAAACATTAACTTTTTAGAAGGGATCTCTGGGCAGTAAAAGGAGCCGTCTTTTACAATTTTAGGGAGAAAAACTTGTATTTTTCGGATTGTGAAGGGGACATTCGGATTGCATCAGAGAAGATTTGTTTTTGGGGAGATTTCTATTCCTTCATCTCAGTTTCATTATGTCTATTCTGTTTACTTTTGATTCCCGTTTTTATTCTGTTAAGTTAGCTATGAACTAATCTTCTATGGGTTAGGGTTTTGATTGTAGTTTGGATTTGAAATGGGTTGAATATATGTTTATGCTATTTTCATGTGAATAAGTTGTGGTTGTGTGTTACTCTGAAATTAATTGTTGTATGTGATGAACATGATGAGATTGAGAAATAATTCATGTTAAGCTTCATGGGTAATAACCATTATAGTATTGGATGCTAGAGATAGATTCAAGAATTAATGAAATCAATTTAGGATTCTTGTGCTTCATGATTTAGAATTGTTAACCTTCAAATTGTTGGGTGCGGAATGTTAATAATGATGAATAGGAAAACATAGCCCGAGAGGGTATGTTATCATAGTAGTGAATCCGATTTACAACCACTGCATGCGAATGTGAAAATAGTGTAACTTTTAGGTATAACCCATAAATAATCCAAACGAAGTCAAAACCCTACCCGTTTTACTTAAATTGAATCTTTGTGTTCCATTTGTTTTCCCTTTTAAGGATTAATTTCTTGTTAGAATTTATTTTGTTTTCTTTCAATTACAAATTGCTCCCATAAATCCAAGATTTTCGGTTGCTTCAACTTGTTAACGTTAGGGAACTTAGTGCTTTGCTACCAGTCCTCGTGGGAATGATATCCTACCC